CTTTCTAGGTGCCCCTACTGATACCCTTACCTTTGAAGACTTTTGGTTTTAATCTAATAGGATCTTTGGTTACCAAACTAGGTCGATCATTTACCATAAATTGTAAGGTTCCATGATCCAAAAGACTTTGGACTCGACGTTTGAAGGCAAGATAATTCTCGATGGTATGTCCTTGAGCTCTGGCATGATATTCACAATGAACGTTGATGTCATACCAATTTAGATATGGAGGTTGGAATGGTTTTATGTAATATGGAGCCACTTCTCGTGCTTCAAGTAGCTTTTCATACAACTCTTTATATGATATATGTATAGCATCAATATGAGAACCGCCTTTTGTCTTGGATTGAACTTGAGTTTTAGATGTCGGGAGCAGACTAAACTTCGATGATTTCAGGTTACATGTTTTCTTCTCTTCTCTGGGAGCTTTTACAGTTGTCCTCATTTCTTTGGTATCTCCAGAAGACTTGTGAATACGAATGATGATTGTCTGTAACTTCTCCAATTGATTAGGATCATAAGTCCCTTGCATATCTGAAATTACAAGATTATGTTCATTGATCTCTCTCTCTTTTTGTGCAGGAATCTCTTTTCCTTTGGCCAAAACAGATATTCTTTCCATCATCATGGACATATGCTCTCTTATTTGTCGTATCTCCTTTTGCTCTTCAATGGGCATACGATTTTTGGGTGCACAGCTCTCATCTATCCTAGGAGTTCCCTCAAGATGTCTTTCCTTGGCCACGTCATATTTTGTTCGATCATAAAACGTTTTGTCCATTTATGATTTCTTTCCAATTTGATGAACAGTCTTTCAAGTCAACACCTTTTGGTTATGCCATGATCATGCAATGCAGACAAAAGAAATTAATATGAACAAGTTAGAGCAAAATAACATGCAGTAAAAAAAGATAAGAAAAAAATAAAATGGTTAGTACCAACTAATGGAAAGAAAAAATTTATATCTATCAAGGTATAAATCCTAACCTCATGCTTTCTAGTTCCATGCTTTGTTTGGAAAAATTAACCTAACCGCATGATTACTAGTTCACATACATTTATTCAGAAAAGAAATTAAATAAATTAAAAGCTAGAGCTTATTTCTCCTTTGTGTACACCTACAGACATAGGTTCAATATTGTCTTAGATCAGGAGAATTTCTAGGGTTTATTATATGCAGGGTTTCAGTTCTAGGAGTAAAAGTACTTGAAATGTCCTTGTTGGTGCCCCTTGGGCTGCCAAACCCTTAATCCTAGTCCATCACACACTTAAGTGGATTGAGTTCAATTCGAGGGGACACATTTCCCTATGCCTGACACGGAGAATAAATTCTCACGAAGACATAGAGCATATGAATCCCGAAAGCTACTTGCTAGGTCTGACACGGAGAATAAATTCTCACGAAGATGTCGCTTTGACTCCCACTTAAAAAGGACAAGCTTGATTATAAAGCTTATGTTATGCAATGTACGTGTTGTGTGTGAGGAGAAATCTTCAAACCTCTGACAGACAATAAATAAGGAAATTTAATACTTGAAAAATAATATATTAATAAAATAATATATATAAATATTATGAAAATAATAAGTATATATAAAAATTTTGAAAAGAAAGAATTATAAATTAAATATATGAATTTTTAATTTCTAATTAATAGAGACAATTTGTAATTGATTTTAAAGTTTAACATGTCCCCAGCGGAGTTGCCAAGCTGTCGTAATCGGTTTTCGCCCGGGTACGAATTTTTACTTGGCGGGAAAAGTGATGTGAATAAATGGTTTTAAAATATTTTTGGAGTCGCCATCGGCCTTTTGGGTCAGGTAGGTCGAATACCTAAAATTTTTCTTTTAAAAAAGTTTTTAAGAAAACTTCAGTTAAAAGATAATCTGGTATGCGTTTTAACCAAAAATTCATTCTTTTTAATAATAAAAAGGGATTCGTGGTCGATTACGTTTGGAGAAGGATTAACACCCCCACAACACCCAAAATTGGTACTTATTAATTATAAATTGTCTCTATTATTGGAAATTTAAAAATTCAAAAATATATTTAATTTATAATCTTGTTATTTCAAATTTATTAATATATATATTTTTAAATAAGATATTTATTTACTTAAAAATTTTATAAAAGGGCTTCTAGGTGCTTTAAGACAGCTATTTTCTTAATATATAAAAATAAATAAATATTAATAAAAAATAATAAAAATAGATTAATATATATAATTGATAAAAGTAAAATATTTATTAAAAAATATAAAAAAATGGACATCCAGTTGCTTTAAGACTGTCATTTCTTAATATTTAAATATTAAAAATAATAATTTTCTCTAATAAAATAAAACAATATGTATTTTCTTATTTTTATAAGTAAGATATTTATTTATTTTTAAAATGTCAGAATAGGACATCTAGTTGCTTTAAGACTATCCTTTTCTTCGATATTTGAAAAATAAATAAATATTATCAATTAAACAAATATATATATATATATATATATGACTAATATAATAATAATAATAATAAAAGTAATTATTTAAACATATTGGAATTGAAATGATAATAATACAAATTAAATTGCAATTAAATAGTGACTAAAACATATAAAATTAAAATAATAGGATTAAAATATAAAATATTAAAATTTGCAGCCCTTATTTATAGTATTATAAAAATATAATTACTAATGATGTAATTAACCCTAATTATTAATAGGTGATTAAAATAATAATTATTAAAATCAAAGGCTCTAACTTGAATAATAAAAAGATCTAAGTGCTATTAATGTAATTTAGCCTTATTTAATTAATTCGGGTTAAAATGATAATTACTAAACTGTAAGGGACTAAATTAGGTATTTACCCTAAATATATATATATATACAGATAAGGACTAAAATAAAATAAAATTACGAGACCAAATTAAAAGGATCATAAAATAATTCCAGTGACGAAATTGAAATATTACAAATCTATGGGGATTGCGGGTATAGTTTACCTACACGGGAAATTACACATATACCCTCCTCGAAATGGCGTCGTTTGGGGAGGGGTTTAAATACCCCAAATGATCGGCCCTTCGGGCCATTCTTCCCATTTTCCTTTCCTTCATCTCTCTCTAAAATGAGAGAACCAAAGTTCTCTCTGGCTTCTCTCTACATTTCTCCCGTCAGAGAGAAACCAGTCTCGGCCAACCACCGTTGTCGGGCTCCGACCACCGCTGTCGGCCACCATCGATGGTGGCCATAATTCACAAACCTACCCCAAATCGAAGCTTATTTGGTCTTCAAACCAAATCCGGCCTTCCTTAGTTCTAAAAGTCTCTCAAATAGCCTAGATCTATAGTTTTACCTTCGAAATCCAACGATTTCCGATGGCGTGGAGAGGCTCTTCGATAATCGCTTGTAAGTTTCTTGATCTATTTCCTTTATTTTTTCCTTTCAATGTTCTGTTTTGCCGTTGGTTGTTGTTTCATTTTGCTCTATTGGTTGTTTGCTTACTCTTTGTTGGTTGCCGTTTTTTCTTTGCAGGTGGTCGATGGCTTTTATAGCCATCGACGGTGTAGCTCTCGAACCGGTCCCAAATGGTGACCCTAGGTGAGTCACCGGACTATGGTGGTGACTCACCATAGGGTTTCAACGTGGGGCAGTGACGAGGTGTGTCTGGAGGCTTCGGTTGAAGGTGGCTTCATGGAGGCGTGGCAGCTGGCTGAGACGTCGAGGCGGCGGTAGTTTCTGGAGGCGACAATTGGGGTCTTCTAGAAGAGGCGGCTGGGATGTGGCTCTAGGATATCATACCCTAGGGTTTTATCTGGAACCTCTGGGGACCGTTGGATCTAAGCCAGATCCAACAGCTGTGATGCTGAGGCGGCTGGCTACTGATGAGATGATATAAACCCTGTATCATTAGGGTTAGGCTTGGGCCTGGATCGTTTTGGGCCATCTGGATTTTGTAAAATGAGCCAGAGTTGGGCCTTGTAATATTTATTTATTTTTATTTTTTAGTAATAATACATATAATATATATATATATATATATATATATAAATAATAATAATAATAATAATAATAATAATAATAATAATAAAAGTAATAATTAAAGTAAAATGAAAAATTAGTATTTATAGTTATCACTCCAAATTACTAAAAAGATGAACTCGGATCAGAATGGATACAAATTTTGCACTAATGTTTCGGGAGATTATAATCTTACTTTTTTTTTTTTTTTTTAAGATTGTTAGGTTCATTACCAGTTAACCAACATGTCCGAGCCATTAAGGATCCATAGTTGCAATCCAAAGCTATGAGAAGCTTTTTTCAAACGATTAAAAAAGATCTACGGCTGGACTTTAGAGGTTGGACGTGTATTTTATTTCGGTTTGAAAAGGACAGGTGTTTGGCTGAAAATGGCTTTCCCTTTTGTAAGCATAGATTGGAGAAGTGAGTGGCATTTTTGCAGGGAAAACAAGGGGCACTTTTATTTATGGTTCGTTCTTGTTTTCTAGTACTTCTTATTTCACAGATATAAACAACAGGATCGCAGGATTTCTCGTGAAAAGCTCACAAGCCAATAAAGCTAGCCATAAACAGCTAACCACCACCTCCACCTTCAACATTCATCTCGCGTTTCATAAATCTTCAATCTTGACCTGTAAAATAACAAAAACTCTACAAAAATTTCATCTTGGTGCGTTGTTTTTTTCTCTCCTTTGATCTTTTTATGTTTAAAAAATGGTTCTTTGGAAGACTTTGCGATCTGGGTTTCTTTAATCAATCTCAACTTCTTTGATCTAATCCGATTTCAATAGCTTAGCTTTGAGGTTACTTTGATTTTTAGTCATGTGTGTACCTCTGTACATGAAAGTCTGACACAACCGTCATTCTATTTTGTTTATTTTATTTGTATCTTAATGTGATTTATACACTTTTACATGGTTTACTTAGATCTTCTCTGAGTATGTAATGTTCACCTGATCTATCTATCCTCTGTTTCGTCGTCTACCAGCGAGAAAGCTTTAATGGAGTCATGTTGTCTGACTATGAAAGCCAATCCTCGTTTGTTGAATGTGAGAAAAAACGGCTTTAACAATGGAGATAATGCATTTCTGGGGGAGAGAATCAGAGGGAGTCTTGTTGATAACAGTTTGTGGTTCAATCATGTTGATAATAAGAAAGAAACGAAGATCAAAACCAGTTCTTCTGCGATTCTCACATCGAATAATCGCAGAGAAGCCAAGGTTTGTTAATTCCTTTTCCCGATCACTTTGTTTATCTTGTTTGTGCATACGTTGTGTTTGTTTGATCAAGGCCATGTCTGGTTTTAGACCGTGCAACAACGTCGATACGATAGAAGAAAACTCGACCCCAAGAATGTGGCCTCGATCATACTGGGAGGAGGTGCAGGGATTCGTCTCTTTCCACTTACTCGAAGGGCGGCTACGCCTGCTGTAAGGACATACAATGATACAAATTCTGTTATTCTAAGTTCAATTTCATGGCAGATTTGTCTCTTTGTTTTAGTACTATGCTTGATGCTGAATTTGATGCTAGATCCTCTTGTCTTGACTGTGATGCTTGGTTTCATGTGAATATATCGTCTGTAGGTTCCGATCGGAGGATGTTATAAGCTGATCGACATTCCGATGAGCAACTGTATCAACAGTGGGATAAACAAGATCTTTGTTCTGACACAGTTCAACTCGGCTTCCCTCAACCGGCACCTTGCACGAACGTATTATGGCAATGGTATCAATTTTGGAGATGGATTTGTGGAGGTATGGGATCCTTAAGGTTAATGAAGATCAATTTGTTACAACTTTCTACCTGTTTATGTGGTCTAATAGTGTAGATCAATCGATATTTACTGAATAAATGCAATGTTTTCGAGGCGATAGAACGAATTATCGAACGAAACTTCATTTGATGAACAGGTTCTTGCTGCTACTCAAACGTCAGGAGAAGAAGGGAACAAGTGGTTCCAAGGAACAGCTGATGCTGTGAGGCAATTCATATGGGTATTTGAGGTAGGAATTACAAGTTTTATTTCCATTTCTCCTGAAAATGGTTGCTGATTCGGTTCGACATAAAATGTGATATATCGAAATTATTCTTGTAGGATGCAAAGAACAGGAACATCGAGAATGTAGTCATCTTGTGCGGGGATCATCTCTATCGAATGGATTATATGGACTTTCTACAGGTATCGACATCTTTTGCTCGATCCATGTTTTTGAGCCGAAAGCTTCACTAACTTACTGCAATGCGTAACAGAGTCATGTTGACAATAATGCTGATATTACAATCTCATGCGTGCCCATGGACAACAGGTTTTTGATCTTCTCGTCTTAATAATGTCGTCTTTTCGAGTTTTATATATACTTTGCTTATCTGTTCCCTATTAGTAAAAGTTTAATGGCTGAACATCGATGATTGATCACCCTGCAGTCGTGCATCTGATTATGGACTGGTGAAGATCGATGGAAGGGGGCGTATTGTCCAGTTTTCCGAGAAGCCAAAGGGTGCTGATTTGATAGCAATGGTAAGCAGAAAGAGGAAGTCATGTCTAGTCTCGAATCTCTCGATGTCCCGTTAAATTCCGATTTTCTCTGGATTTTTCGGAATTTTAGTGACGAACATTGAGATACTGTTCTATTTACTTGCTTTATAATCCTCTGCAGCAAACAGATACCACTCTTCTAGGGTTGTCTCCCCAAGAAGCCAAGAAATCCCCTTATATTGCATCAATGGGAGTCTATATATTTAAGACGTCGGTTTTATTAAAGCTTCTGAGATGGAGATTTCCTTCTTCCAACGACTTCGGGTCGGAAATCATTCCTGCTGCAGTCAAGGAACATGATGTCCAGGTAACAGAGATGACTTCATTTATGATCGAGGCTTCGGACCGAGCACCGGCTCTTACCGGAAACGCAGGCCCTTCCACATTGCGTTTAGTGCCTTTGACATCAAGTCATTCATATTCTTCGTTTCTGTTTGTGCAGGCGTATATTTTCAAAGACTACTGGGATGATATTGGAAACATAAAGGCCTTTTATGAAGCCAATTTAGCACTCACTGAAGAGGTTGGTTTTAATGGTTATTTACATGTCGTTTTTGGACTCGGATGTTATGTCGGATACATGCGAAACTTGTTTAAGGTTTAACTCGATTAGTCATCTCCCCCATGCAGGTTCCTAAGTTCGAGTTTTATGATCCGAAGACACCTTTCTATACATCTCCTCGACACTTACCCCCAACGAAAATCGATAAATGCAGGGTATGACAGTTAAGTTTTGCATTACATTTGTGGCACTTTATTTTTGTTGCATCTCATGTTTCAGTCTGTTACTACAGATTAAAGATGCACTAATCTCCCATGGATGCTTCCTGCGAGAATGTACTGTCCAACACTCGGTAATCGGTGAACGCTCACGTTTGGACTCTGGTGTTGAGCTTCAGGTAGACTATCTCGGTCTCGCTTTTAAACTAAATCGATTACTTCGACTGGATGTTCAACTCCTTCCTATCCACAGGACACGGTTATGCTGGGAGCGGACTATTACCAAACTGAAACTGAAATCGCATCTCTACTAGCAGGCAGTAAGGTCCCAATTGGAATTGGACACAATACCAAAATCAGGTAACTTATTTATCATGGAGAACGAATTCTAGAGTTCGATGACAAGTCGTCGTTCTGAAACGCGTATGGATTTCTCTTCCAGGAACTGCATTATCGACAAGAATGCTAGGATAGGAAAAGATGTAGTCATTGCCAACACAGATGTAAGCATTGTATAACCGGTCATCAAATACTGCTGCATTCATAGAAGCATCAACAAACTGCTGTTTCTTTTGTAGGGCGTCGAAGAAGCCGAAAGGCCGGAAGAAGGATTCTACATCCGGTCCGGAATCACCGTCATACTAGAGAAGGCAACGATTGAGAATGGTACCGTTATATAAATGGATCGTAAATTACTTCCGGGGACAGCTCGGAGCTCGGAATTCAATAGGGCTCTATTGAAAGTTGTTATGGTGGGAGGAGGTTCTGAAGGGTGGCGTTTGCATCATTTTGCATAAAAAGAAAAGCTGCATTACTATCAATTACGTTTTATGTAAATCAAAAGTTCGTTTTGCAGTGTAAATTACGTAATAGAATTCATGAAAATAAATCAGGCGGCTAAGCACAAAGCAGCCTCTTGTTTATTCCTATTAGCAGTGTAATATCTTTTGATACACTCAATAATCAATGCTTATAATTTTATCCCTCTGTGCAATTGAGTTGTTGCACACAAAGAATGCGTTTGATGCTTAAAATTTTGGTATAATAACAAAAAAAACCCTAACATTTGTTTAAATAATCAATTTGACCCTTATTTTTTGAGCATTTTGCACCAAACATTTTATTTTAGGACAAAAAGATTTCCTAAAGTTCGACTAAATAATCACTTTAATCATAGCTTTTCGTTTTAGGGCAAAATCATTCCTATTTTAGGGGAAGAGGTTTTTATTTTGATTTATTAACTAACGGTTTTTGTTCTCAAAGCAACATTTCTACCTAAAATGAAATATTATGGGACAAAATGTTTTAAAAAAAGAATACGAGTTAAATGATTGTTTTTAGCAGTATTTTTCGTCATTATGCCTACAATTTTATTGATATTTTATAGATCTTAAGTTCGAGCAACTATGTCTGTAAGATATGTGTTTTATCGATAATTAAAGAAAATTATGAATAAATATTATATTATAATGATATTGTATTGTTTAAAAGAAAAACTTTAATTACTATTAGATTTTACTAATAAATTTTGGAAGTGTTGTTCTTATAAAACGCTTTTAATATAAATAAGAAAATAAATAAAAAAAAAAGTAAATTATATCAATAATCTCTTTTATTTTCGTTCTGATCATCAAATTTTAAATTAAGTACGCTTATATCTTACATTATTGATTTAAATTCGTCAGACATTAACCCATGTGTGATATGACAATTTTAAAATAAATAAAAAACCCCGTATTCACCATCTGTGCACTTCTTCTTCCTCTCATCTCATTTCTTTTCCTTCGTCCATTATTTCTCTTCTTCCTCTGCACATGGGTTTAAAAACCAAAAATTTGGTTTCTAGCTCATTTGTCTCCCCCCCCTCATAATTAGAAAAGAGAGAAACTCTAGAATCCAGATGGCCATCCGCCTCTCACCGCCTGCGTTAGGCGTCGTTGACAGCCATCCGTCACCGCCATCCATGTGTCTCTTCTTCGTCGTCGTCTTCTTTCTTGTCTTCTTCTTTCTTCTTCTTCTTCTTCTTCTTCTTCTTCTTCTTCTTCTTCTTCTTCTTCTCCTCCTCTTCTTCTTCCCCAATTTTGCTGCAAAAATATTACACCTATAACCTTACCACGTTGCACAGTAATGCTCTATTTACAGACACATGGATTGTTCTAACTCTGTGTCTGGTTTATCTGACATTGTGGATATATATATATATATATATATATATATATATATATATCTTAGTTTGAATGTAATATCTTCCATTCATCTGGGCCTTCAACGTGAAAATAATTTAGCCCTACACCATAATGATGTTTTAAATATCCTTTCTCTTAACACGTAAAATGAATTTGATTCCTGTTTAATCTTTATCTTCTGGTTTAAATGATGATGTTTATGGAAATTGTTGTTGCAGAGAGTTAGACATTTTCCAGAAGACGAACTCTTGGGTGAGAATAAAGTCGTGATGTTGCCAAATATTTGCATGCTCATCTCTTTGACAAGATATTGAACCAGGTTTATCCAACACTTTCTTTATTCAAGCCATATACACCCTTCCTCTTTTTTTCTTCTTCTGATTTCTTATGCCCTTTCTTCTGATCAATTGATAGCCTGATTTCTGGACAAAACCGAAACGAGCAATCAAATGAGCGTATAAAGAGATGGATGATGAGATACTAGCTGATGTTGCCTCTTCAAGAGGTGGCTCAAATTCTGTTACAGCTATACTGGTTGACAGAGAGAAGCTAATGGTGGCTAATGTAGGTGATTCTCGGGCCGTCGTGTGCGGCGGTGGTGAAGTGAAACAAGTAACGACGGATCATGAGCCGAACAAGGAGATAGAAGTTATTGAATGCAGGGGAGGATTTGTGTCGAAAATGCCAGGTAATGTAGTTGGGTTTGATAAACATAAACGTGGACGTTGAACCACGTTTTTAATTTGAAATTGCCAACTCACACTTTCGTTAATTAACGAAAATTAACGGCCGAAGAACTTGAACCGGACGAACAGATAACATAAGAGACCAAACACATTTAATTAAAAATTCGGTGACTAAAATCGATCAGACCGAAAACAAATGGACTATTGCCATAGTTTATCCAATAAAAATTAGAAATTGCTAATTCAAATAAAATAATCAATAAATATTATTTTAACATGAAATTTAATGTTTGAAAATAATAATAAAAATAAGGGTAAGTTACACATTTACTCATTGAACTTTACTGTCTCTCTTATTTTACTCACCGTACTTTCAATTTATTAAATTTGCTCACTAAAATTTAAAAATTGATTTTTTGTCACTCGACCATTTTCTCATTATCAGAGTTATTACATGGCTTATTTTAATAATAAAACTACCACATAATATTTACAATTTAGAAAAATAAAAATATAAAATTATTAAATTATATTATCAAACTTAATCTTAAAACTTCAACCCCAATTGACCCCTTCACAATGAGCAGATCAGGGCAGCCTCAAGATCTCAAAAATTACATGGACAAAAAGCTCCAAATCAAGCTGAATGCAAATCGGATGGTTGTTGGTACACTTCGTGGGTTTGATCAGTTTATGAATCTAGTGGTTGACAACACTGTGGAGGTGAATGGCAATGAGAAAACTAACCATGGGATTGGAATTGTTATGTAATTGAAAATTCGTAGGAATTTAAATGGATCTCCATGGATTCTGCTCTTTCATTTCCAAACTGTAATTGAATGTAGAGAATGGTTACAGAAAAAAGAAGAAATAAAACTTCAACCCCAATCCAAACTCCAAATCTCAAATCATCGTTGGCACTCTACTCCCTTCTTTTATACCAAAATTCGAAATCTCAAATTATCAAGTCAATCAAGAGGATGAAATAGCGAGGGGGTGAATTAACAATTAAAAATAAGAAATTGAACACAAGAATTTTAGAGTGGTTCGACTTTCTAAACCAGCTTCTACATCCACTACCTTAGCTATCCACACTAAGGATTTTCACAAATTCTCTAATGTGTATAAACCTTTGAAGACAAAGTGTAACCTCACAACTCCCTCAAGAATTATACCAAAATTCTTGAGAACACTCTCTCAAAGAGAAAATTACAAATTTATAAACTTAGAAAACCTCACTAGGAATGTGTTTGCACAATTCAATAACAAATAAGAACACTAAACAAATAATACAAAATGAGTACAACAAAAAGAATATTAAAGAATGTTGACTTTGATTTTGGCTCAATTTGATTGCTTGGGCTTTCTTTGTGGTTCATTGTCTTCACATATAGCTTGAAATCTTGTTTTTATATCATCTCATTCAATTCTAATCGTTTGGGTTGTTGTGGGAGTTAATAGAGCCGTTGGGATGAAGTTTCTCGCAATAAATGTTGCCCAAACGCCTTGAGTATCGATACTCGAGCTTGGAGTATCGATACTGCCTACATTAATTACAAAAATTCTGACCGTTGGAAGAGAGGATTATTGGTACTCTAGTAAGAATATTACTACTGGTATCGATACTCTGAGAGTATCAGTACTAGAATGGTATATTAGAATCAGATTTTGTCAAAAACACAAAGGGAGTATCGATACTTCCATTTAGAGTATTGGTACTGCATGAACAATATCGATATTGTTCTTGCAGTATTGGTACTGCAGGGTTTAAAATCAATTTTTGACTCGATTGAGGTTCAAAACCCTTTGTAAAATTATTTGAAAATTATTTCCAGTATATTACTTTAATTTTCAAAATGATTAAGGAGTAAAAATTAAGTTTTGACCTTGAAAAAGATTTCAAAATTCGAACAATTTAATCGAATAAAAAATAATCTTAAAATTTCTTTAAAAATATTCATTTTTGGTATATCAAAATACAAAGCATGGTTCAACAATCTCCCCTTTTTTATATAGCAAAACCTTTTAAAAATTTTAAGATTTTCTTGAAAATAATTACTCCCCTTTACTTAAACATCTCTCTCCCTTTTTGTTAAATCAAAAAGATGAACTAGTTAGAAATATATGTATAACCTGTGAAGATCAAACTTGCCAAATAGATTAGTCAACATAAATAATATTCCTAAGCAATAATTATGGTCATAACAAAAAACAAACATGTCTCAATTATAATAAGTATCCAAATGACATGAAAATCCATAATAACATCCAAATAAGCAAATATCCATAAAATCTAAATATCCAAATCCATAAACAAAGTATGTAAAATCACCAAAAATAAAATCATCCAAATAACCAAATATTCGACCAAGACAAAATGCAACACTAAATATGAGCAAATGACAAGCAAAGCATATGAAGAACGATCAAGCGTCCGACGGAGGAGGATCATGATCTAAAGATGGAGAGCGGAAAGAAGTACAGTCGTGAGAAAGCGTGTCAATCCTGTCTGTCACGATATCGAATAAAGTATGGAAGTCACGTCAGGATTTCGCATACATAGTTCCCAAATACAATTGACGTGCAACAATCTTAGAAACCTGAGTCCATAAAGCTATGAAATGAAACTCTATAATAGCAAAATGCATATACATCGTCTCTATGAAGCTTTGGACGTAAGGAGGAATAACATTCTCACAACCAACTCTAGGGTAGTCGTTAGGGACGCGATTCACAGGATCATCTACATCACGCTTAATGTCGTCGTCCTGAGGCTGCGGAGCACTAGAGGAGGAGCCAGTTGTTTTCTTCCCCTTTCTTGTCCAAGTCATGCCTTCTTTTTCCCATCATGCTTTACGAAGAGATTTAAGATCAATGGGTGAGGTCAAGGGAATAGGAGGAACTTGTTCAACGTTTATACCGACTTTGACAAAGAGGTGGCTAAAGATACAACCATAAACTAAGGTACCAAACTTTTTAGCTTGGAAGTTGTTTATGGCATCAACAAATGATTTGGGGGAAATTTATTTGCTTGACTTCTTGGAAACAATGAATCCACTAAATATCGACGGAATGAAGGGTAGAGAACTTACCATCAAATGGTCGAAACCACCAAGTGATCATGAGACTTAAGAGACGCTCATGAATGTCGAGAGAATTAAAACTATGGTCGACTAGGGAGACTCAACTTTATCATTCTCATTATCGATCCCTTTAACTTCAGATCTAAGTCTCGGCTACGCAATCGATATCGATATGAATGTATTGCCCCATAATATAGAAGCGAATACTAACAATACCCCATTGGATTCATCATAGACAATAACAACATTAAAATAAAAGATACGGACAAGATGTTGATAGACAATCGGTTTAATCTTAAAGGTGTTTATAAGTTTCCAAGACCAAAGTTGAGGAAGTTATTTGAACTTAAGTTCAGCCCTGGCTTTAAGGGAGGGTATAAGCTCATCCATAAGCTATAAATACTCAAAATAAGTTGAATACCTATGACTAAGGTTTTGACGACCCAGATCATTAAAGCAAGAATTATGGATAGTAAGAGCATTTAGGTCCAGATTCGGGTCAGGAATTGGAGGTGGAAGTGAGGAGAAAGGGCTCGGCGTGGAGGAGGGTTTCGGGAAGAACGAGCTCGCTTAGACATTTTTGGATAAAATCAGGATAAGTCAAACCTAATAGAAAACAATACATATGTATGCAACTAATCAATCCTAAAACTCATATAGAGTTTGCAATATTCAAGGTATTTAAAATCAAAAAAAAATAAACTCATAACAATTAAAAGAAAATTTTAAAATAAGACAATATATATATATATAAAAATATATATATATATATATATATATATATATATATATATATATATATATATATATATATATATATATATATATATAGGAAAACAACATATATATATATAGTATATAATAAAGAAGGAAAAATAAACAGTAGTATATATATATATAATACCAAAAAAATTTATATGTATATATAAATCAAAACAGTTTTTTTTAATTCGAAATGTCTCTAATATATATATATATAATTTGTAAATTTATGGTGAAAAATAACATATTTATATTCGAAAATGATGTATAAACAATACCCATTAGGTAATTTAACACAAATAAGAATAGATCAAACTTAAATTCGAAAAAAATAGGTTTACAAAATACCTTAAATATGATAATAAGATGAGAATGAAGATGTTGGCACGATTTTGATGAGTTTGCAGGAACCAAGCTTAAAAAATGAAGTGATTTCGACCCAAAAACAAAGAAAATGGAGGCGATTTAATAAATGGGCTAGAGGTTTATTCTAATGACAGTAACTAGGGTTAAGGGGTTTTGAAAAAAATTAGAAAATTTTGAGAGATAGAGACCTTACCTGACCTCGAGTATCAATACTCATTTAATGAATATTGATACTCACGTGCAAAATAAGTTGGTATAGATACAAGGTGTCGATACTACAGAACCAATATCGATACATTATGAAAGGTATCGATACTTAGGAAGAATAATATCAATACTGTAAGCAGAGTATCGATACTACATGCACAAAATGGTCAAAAAAATAAAGCAAATAAGTCCTAAAATGTCATTTTTATCTCAAAATTAAGCACATACAACATATACTACCACATGAGATATAAAATTATGACCAATAAACAAGCATTCATTCATTTATACAAGGTTTAATCAACAAAAACACCTATGAATGCTAAAGTTGCATGAATTTCTAGTTAAAGTGCACCAAAAGGTCAAAAGTCATAATGCATACAATAGGGTATCAAAAATGGTATAGAAAACTCTAAATTGACAAGGAAAACATGTTCAAACAAACAAATATACATTCAATCATAATTTGAACACTTTTTCAGTTTTAATGAAAAATCCTAAACTCCCCCTAACTAATTGTATAGGCATCAAAGAAGTTATTTAGCATGATATTTCATAAAAACATAAAAGTGCATAAATTATTTAAACACAAAGTCTAGGTAGGTTTGTTAAACCTAATTCTCTTCCAAGTGCCCAAAATCTCTCCTTATTTAAAGATTTTGTAAAAATATCCGCTACTTGGTGCAAAGTGTCTACATAGTCTATAACTATATCTTCCTTTGAGACATGATCTCTAATGAAATGATGTCTTGTTTCAATATGTTTAGTTCTAGAATGTTGGATGAGATTTTTTATGAGATTTTTTGATAGGGATAGTACCTACATCAATTCTATAGTCCCTGAGTTGTTGTTTTATCCATAAAACTTGAGCACAACAACTACCGACCGAAATATATTCTACTTCGATGGTTGATAATGATACACTATTTTGTTTCTTTGAAAAACATGAAATCAACATACTACCTAGGAATTCGCAAATACCGGAGGTGTTTTTTTCTATATAATTTACAACCTCTATAATCTGCATATGAGAATACATACAAGCTAAAATTAGAGTCTCTAGGATACCAAAGTCCTATACTATGAGTGTCTCTAAGGTATCTAAAAATTCTCTTAATGGCTTGTAAATGTGATTACTTTGGACACGATTGAAATCTAGCACATAAGAAAACACTAAACATAATATCTGGTCTACTTGCGATAAGATAAAGCAATGATCTGGTCATAAACCTATAAAGTTTAACATCTACACATTTACCTTCTTTATCTTTGTCAAGCTTTCTAGATGAGCTCATATGAGTGGCTTGAGGTTTCACATCCTCCAATCTAAACTTCATGAGCATGTCTTTGATG